GCTTGAGCCAGGCTGAACGCAGAGGCCTCTGCAGAAGCACGAAGGTCTGCTCCTATAGGTCTGGAAACACAGAGGCCCTCGCAGGCTGAAACCAGGGGTCCCAGGGGCCCAGCTGTGCAGGCCTCTTGCTCTCTGTTGACCTGGCCACCAGCTGGGACCACGTCCTCTCTTGTGGCAGGCGCAGGCTTCCCCATGGAATAAATGCTCTCTCCTAGCATCTTACCCTCCTGCCTTGTGGGCCTGGGAACCCAGCTTTCAGCCGTCCACAGGGCCCAGCCAGCCTCTCGCTCCCTTCCGGGGGGTGTAGGCAGGATTGGAACCTGGGACTTTCAGCTGAGGGGGGGTGGGGCGCTGGCTGGCTGGGCACGGGGGCCGTTCTCGTCCAGCCTTGTTGTGGGGAGGAAGGCAATCAGGCCACATTCTCAGGGTTCAAGGCGGCACAGCTGGGGCCAAGGTGGCTTGGAGAAGCAGGGCAGCTGCAGGCTGAACATTAACCTGGGGCCAGCTCTGGATGGAAGAGGGGACCCTTAGGGGCCCGCCCCCCACCTCCCTGCGGTGCTGGGGGGGGAGGGAGATGGTTTGGCTCCGACAGGTGTGGGGCCTGGGCAGAAAGGGTAGGGGCAGGGGCAGGGCCAGAGCCGGGCCGGGGGCTTGCCTCTCCAGCCCTCCCTTCACCCACTACCCACGCTGCTGCCAATGCTGCTCAGTGGCTCCGTTCCCAGGGGACCCACGATCCGGGCACCGGGGAAGGCAGCTGCTTTGGTTTATAGATGCAGCTTTGAACGGGAACCAGGAGGTTCCTGACAAGATCTGGGCGAGGTTCTGGGCCCCCCACCCCCAGTTTAGAAAGCAGGGGCTGGGGGGGCAGGGTGTTTGTCTAGGAATGAGGCGGGGTCAGGGGACAGGGCCTGAGAACAGGAGGGCCTGGCCAGGGGGGAAGGTAATGTGATGGTGGGAGCTCCCTGGCCCGGGTGCTACAGCCCATGGTCAGAGATGGGGAGGGACTGAGGGGGCAGTTGGCCGGGCTGATTGGTTACGGGGCCTGGCTGGTTCTGAAGAGCTGGGCAGAGGCAGGGGGTCCCCACAGCTCCTGCATGTGGGGGGGCTGCCTAGCCTGGAGGAAGAAGGCTCAGGCTTGGGGTTAGCTCCTCTGATTGTGAACTGAGCTGTGGGCTTTTAGCAGCTGGCTGCTACCTTACAGAGATGGAGGGTGTGGGGTCTGTCTGCCCGGCCCGGTAGGAGAGGGGGAGGTTGTAGGGGTTCACATAGAGGCAATTCCCACATTACCCCCTTAAAATAAGGGATCTTTCAGAAAAGGCTTTATTTTCCGAAAGATCCGCGTCTAGACTGGCGCTTTTTTCCAGCAAAGCTCCGAGCCGAAAAAAAGTCGCAGCCATTTTTATGCTAATGAAGCGGGGGAGATTTAAATCCCTGCTTCATTAGCAATTGCGATACGTCTAATTTGCATCACTTTTACGAAAAAGGGTTGCAATCTAGACAAAGCCAGGGAGTGTTTTTTCACACCCTGAGCCAGAAAGTGACAGCCTGAGCCAAGTGATCGGCTTTGCACTCTGGGCTGCTTCCCCCACAACCACCTGCAGGAGGGGGGGGGAGGACTTAAACTGCCCTGGTCCTCACATGGTGCAGGGGATTCCTGCATCTAACTGGCTTGGAGCCAGCTCCCGCACCCTGTGCAGTGCGAGGGACACTCAGGCTGTCTACAGACGTGTTTTGTGGGCAGAAGCAATGCAAATGAAGCTGATTATGCCTCTGGGAAAGGCATAAGGATCTTGCACAAAAAGGGATTTTTGCACAAAACGGACATGTCCACACTGCATGTTTTTGGGCAAAAACCTCTTGCACAAAACCGGATTGGACTAGATTATGCAAATGAAGCATGACAAAATGCTCATCAGTGCTTCATTTGCATTGCCTCTTCTGACAAAACACATAGGCTCCATCTACACTGTAGGCTTCTTGTGCAAAAACTTGCCAGGTGTCTACACTGGGTGCGCATGCTTGTGCAAGTAAATTTACAGTACAGCGTCAGAAAACAGGGCTCCTTCCGGAAGAGTTATTCCTCTCCCCACGAGGAATAAGCCCTCTTGCACAAGAGCTCTTCCACAAGAGGGCAGTGTAGACAACATGATTTTCTTGCGCAAGAAACCCCTATGGCTAAAATAGGTGTGAGAGCTTTCTTGTGCAAGAGAGCGTCCACACTGCCATGGATGCTCTTGCACAAAAGCACGTGGCAGCGTGGACACGCTCTTGTGGAAGACCTTTTGCACAAGAACTCTTGTACAAAACAGTTCTTGTGCAAAAAGCCTGCAGTGTAGACATAGCCCCAGCGGCCAGTCCCTGCAAGCCCTGTGCCCCTGGACGGGCGGGGGGGGGCTCAACCTCCCTGTTACTTCCCTCTGCTACAAGGCAGGAGGGACTCCGCTTACAGCTGGGAGACGCTGGGTTTGCCAGGAGGAGCATCGCGCACCGCAGCCTCAACCGTCCCCAAATGGGAACGGCTGCCCAGAGAACAGGTTTGTCGTCTGAATCCCTGCCAGCTCCTTTA